AAATTTAATTGAAAGGGGGATTCTGCAAGGGTACACAAGATAGTATTGTTATATTAGAAATAGAAATGAACTTTGAAAATATGAAACAAGTGTGATTAAAATGATAGATGAAATACTCATTGTAATATAATGGAATGTTTAATAACTAAATGAAATAAAGAGAATGAGAGAATGAAATTAGGAAAGGAGGGGAACATTTTAATTATTATAAATGTCTTATAAAAATTTAAGTGAAGAGGAATATGAAAGAAACATGAAAAATTATGGAAATATAAAGTGTTCCTAGAAGTATGATACCCTATTGAAAAGAAATGTTAAAGATGTCAAAGATTATAACTAACATTAATGATAGAGCTGAACTGGAATAGAATAAGTATTTTATTTATTATTGTTATATATATATATATTCTCTTTAAGAACTTAGTGCATATTTTAAGAATGTACTAAGCAGAATTCGACTGGAAGTCATGTTATATTGAATGTTATAATTGTAAAGGCATATATTGAAGTTTAAATAAGAGTAGAATGGATAAAAATTAAAAGATACAAAGGTGTCATACTCCAAGTAGTAACTACAGGGAAAAATTTTGTTTAATGAGAAAAGAAAATATGAAATTGAAACAGGACAAAAGTATAAATATAATGACTAGAAAGATATTGAAACTTAGAAAAAGATATATATATATATATAATTGAATTTAGAAAGGAATGAGATAATTAAAAGTAAGATTGGGAAAACTAAGGGAAGGTTACTATTGAGAAAATGTTAAAATAGTAATAAGATATGGAATAGAACACAAAGATGAATATGAAATTGAATTTGTGTCTGTATGGAGAAGTGATAATCCGGGACCATGCTATTCTCAAAAAAAGAAATTTTACTTGTATTATGTTTTCTGAAAACCCAAATAAAAATTTTATTAAAAAAACGGATGGAGTTTCAATTGCACCTTTTTTTTACAATATCCTGTGGACATCTTGCAATTCTGAACAGTTTGGTGAAAGTTCTAAATGAAGATATTCTTGGTTCTCTAGCCAATGTTTGATACTTGGCAAAGAAATTGAATGTTACAGCTTAAGAGTCAAGCTCCAAGAAGCAAGGCAAAACTTCCCTGGCCTGAAAATCCTACTCTTATCACAGTGCATGTAGTCCTTAATTTATGATTCCTTTTAAAAAAGTTCAAGTCTTCACTTTCTTAAATTAGGAGGAGGCAATTCTTACAGAAAGTAAACACACACTGGCACTTAAGTTAGGATCTACAACTTAAGTTCTAATTTAAGCTCACCTATACGTGCTAATCAGGGAGGTTTAAAATGAAGAGACTGCCTTCAATAGCTGGAATCAGTTTCAGGATCTGATTTTGTGCATTGTGAATTCCAGTTCCCGACTCCTGCTTCATTTTGTTCCTTACCAAGACTGGCTTTTCCCTTAGTACTTTTCAAACTATTTGTGATATTGGATTATCTATTCCAATTACACCTCCTCAGCCTCCATTAAACCCATTGTGCACGCACACACACTTTCTCTTGCTTCCCCCATCTGTGCCTCCTGCCATCTCTCTAGACAAGTCTCCTGCAAATGTTTCACCACTAAATGCTCTGCTTCTCACATGACAATTGTATTCCTGCCCAGCTCTTCTGCAATCTTCATCTCAAGTACCAGCATCAGTCTGCTCTTTGCTACATGAATGTTTTCTCCCTTTGCTGAAGCCAGGAACTAAAATTGAAATTAAAAACAGATTGGATATTCCAACAGATTACAAGGCTCTTATTACAGGAAATATTGGAAGCTATGTTTGTTAAAGAAGGTATCACAAAAATGCTAACTGAAAAAATGTCTATAAACTTTTTCCCCTACCATATTCAGTTTCTCAAACGGAATCTGTAAAAAAAAAAAAAACACGTTAAGCATATATTGAAATTTGCAGGAAAATGCAAATATTACTAGATCATATTTCCCTTTTTTCTTTATATTACACAGACCTAAGTAAATATTCATAGTTTAGATTTTATATGTAAGAGGGGTTTTGTAGGTTCTTCCTCTCTTTGCTTATTCTCACATAAACAGAAAAATGGTAAATAATCAGGAAAATGGTAAATATATTTTTAAAAATATGCTTGCGATCATGCCCAAAGAATTACTGTTGGGTACTTGAATTGTACATATATGTACTATATGTACTTGAATTGTACATATGCCTAAATCTATTAAAAAATGATTCATCAAATTACTGACTATAAAACAATGGCTAACCATAAAAAGACTTAGGCAACATCCAGATAGAAAAAGCTACTTCAGGATAACATATTTGATAACAAATATATTATATGTTGTACACAATGATTGTTTCTTCTTCTCTTAAGGGCAATTGAGGACACCAACCCATATTCAATTTGAAGTGAGTTCCCATGGCTAAGCAGATCTTGTTGCACTTGCTAGGTCAAAAATGACATTTTTCAAGCTAACTATAGCACATAGGATCTGCAGTGTACTATAGAGCTGAAGGCAACAAAATGTTTTGGAGACAGAAAAGCTGGATTGTACATAGAAGCTTAAAGCAGATCGTCTTAGAATGAAAACTTGAGTTAGAAAAACTTAGAATAACTTCTCTGACCTTAGTCTAGAAAGCTACCTCATATAAAATCAGATCATTAATCCACCAGTGCAGATATTGTGGACACTGATTACTCTGGATTCTAGGTTTTCAAAAATATAATGCATAGAAATATCACACATTGAATAAGACATTGGTTCCATTGCAGGTAGTCCTCATTACAACTATAACTAAGCCTGGAAAAATTCATTAAGCAGCATAGTCATTAAGTGTCATGTGACCACATCCAATTTTACAACCTATTTTGCTATGGGCATTAAGCAAATCACACAATTGTTAAGCAAATATGGATTCTCCAATTGACTTTTGCATGTTGGTAACTGGGAAGAATCACTATCATATGTCTGTAGGATACTGCAACTGTTGTCAAATATCTGAAGTGTGATCACATGATTGTGAGCGTGGTGTAATAATTGAAACTTCAAGGCCAGGTTGTAAGTCAGTTTTTTCAGGACAATCATAACTTTGAACTGTGGTTAAACAAATGATCATAAGTTGAGGACTCCCCTTAATAGAAACAGCAGCTCACACCAATTCAATAAAAAAATAGCAAGGCCAGTCTCCTGATCTAAAGTTACAATTAGAATAATGTACATTTCACACATTTTTCTTAAATGTAAAATTCTCTATATCAAGATGGAGGCAAGTAGTAATTTTCTCACTAAAGAAGTAAAAAAAAACCAATTGTGTTCTAGAGCATGCAGTATAATTGTTTTCAGGCTGAAAGCACTACTAAACATTGGTTGACATGTCAAAGGCTGACTGCAAAAGTTGTCAGAGCCAATACATAATTAACCATAATTAAATAGCCTTAAGCATTACATTATTTTGCATTGAATAGATCTGTAATCATTTTTGCCATAAATTTAAAATTAAAAAGAAATCAGGCCGTCAGCTGTCAGAGGAAAATTCAAGTGGTAGATCGGAGGACATGAAGGCACCTGACATACATCATGTTAAGAAACTGACAAACCCAAAATTGCATATGGCCGTTTGATAGTGGCTGTCTTCAGTTCAATATGCTTTCAATTCAGAAGTATGAAAGTGCAACATAGCAGTTGTATGAGACCTGCCAGAATTTACTTCCAAAACAGATGGAACTAAAAAATACACCCCACTCCATCTTTTCTTGGAATGTAGGATGTTAATAAACAGAATAGTGCTGTAAGCCTTTCAATAAAATAAATATTCTGAGCCCTTGTCTATTACCATAAGCAAGGATATTATAGATCCTTGCTTGTGTTAGTTTAAATTTTAACTGTCTTGGTAGAGAAGCTGGCTGGAAATTATGCTGACTTACAAAATCGTTTTCAAGATGTCTTCTATCACTTTAGCCTGATACTGTTTAAACCATGCTCACTACAGCCTGATTGGTGAATTTCCCTGTTCTTGTCCTTCCTGGATCTGTTGTTATGCCAATTTAGTATTGTTTCTCCCATTTGGACTTGTTAAAGCATTGTTAAGATAGTAAAGAAGCACATCTTGCTCTGTTCCCGCAATAAACTTTGAGGATGAAAAAGGCAGTGATCCAAAGGGTTTCTGTACATGGAACTGAAATGAAGCAAAGCAGACACAATGGCTTTAGAGAGCAAAATGGAAGGCATCTTTAATATAAACTTGGAAAATCTGGAGTTTGCAGTAGCCATTGCTTGGGAGTACATGGACATAATTTATTCCTCCTTCTAGAAATAGTGGGCAGCTCACACTGGTATAAACTGGGAGCAGGTGGTAGCTGTTGCTAAAGTGGGAAGAGGGGCTTTGCAGGACTGAAGAGCTTTGTTCAATAACTCAGCCACAATTTACTTGCCATTGAGATTGTGATGTGCTACACGAGGCTGTCTTGAACACCATCTAGAAATTACAACCTGCCAGATCATAGCAAAACACACATTCTTTGTTGTTTTGTGGAAGCTGATTTGCTCAATTTTTTTCTGGGTACAATTCATACAATAGGTCAGGTTTACAAAACTTCTCTGGTTTTGCATATTAACAGAATGGATACTGTAGGCATGTTCCAGGCCTTCTCTCTCAAATATTGCCATCTAACAGGACTTAGTAAGCATGCTTTTTCCATAGTACCAATAGTTATTGAACTCCCTTCACCTTGAGTTCCAGCAGGCCCCCATCCCCTTAACCTTCTGGGAATGAAAGAGTTGGTTTTTGCCCCAAATATTAGGAGGGTGAGATTGGAGTCTGAAGATAGTGATTTTTTTTTTTTGCTGACTTGGATAATTACAGGCTTTTACATTTTTGTGATGCTTGTATTTTAAACCACTGCTGTGACTGTGCTTCTTCAGATAAATATATATTAAATGTAGACAAGTCAATATATGTATCTGCCCAATATATGTGGAGTAAGAGAAAAATAATGAGGCACGTCATGGATCATGTTAGGTGCATATTTAATTTAAATGTTATTTGTTGACAATTTATGCTTTCTTGATAGAAGATGCCTTTTGAAGCTTTTTAACTTCATGCTTGATGATCCGGTTTCTCTGTAAAATAATTATGTTTATATTTTATATTATATGTTTATAAGGCAAGAATTATCCATTTTCATAAATTATTTTCTTATGAGCAACTGAAAAATGTCATATTTCAGTATTTAGTTTTCTTAAACTTTCGATTAAGTTCTGCAGAAAAAAACAGAACTATAATACTGTTGAAGAATCCTATTCATGTTACTTTATTTCAAAAGAAATTTACTGAAAGTAGAAAGCCAACTGCATCAAGAATTTACATTTTATTTACACATTTAGAGACTACTCCAATTAATAAGTAGCATGCAACTCCCAAATATGTAATTTAAGTTACATAATAACAATAATAAATCAAGCAAAAATTGCACATTGCAAAGTTAAGAATTTTATCTTGCACCTGAAACCATTATACTAAGTGTTAGGAGTCTATTATATAGCAATTGTACTTACCATTTTCTTTGCTTTCATGACCTTATAACGATCAAAATCCGTCATTTTGGCTTTCTATGGAAAGATTTTTTGACAAAGAAGTCTGAGATCCTGAGCCTTACCAAAAACTGCCAGCTTCTTTATGCATTAACAAAATATAACTAGTCATCCCATACATAGCTTTTATTTTCAAAATCATCTTTATCAAGATGATTAGATCAGCATAAAGGGGCAAGGTAGAGTCATTAAAAAAAAAGGATCAGATGATAGATAATTCTACTGGTGCATAGAATTTGGCAATATTGAATGTTGTAAAAGAATCAATATCTGAAAGCAACAGGGTGGTATAATGTTGTTCTGTGTCCTAGGTACTGATGCAGTACAGGTAGCCCTTGTTAATGACTATTCAGCAACCATTCAAAATTACAATGGCTCTAAATGAGATTTACAGATGATCCTTCAAACTGCATCATTACCCACAGTCATGGTATTGGGGTTTGGGTATTTGCAACTGGCTCGCAATTCTGATGGTCACAGTATCCCGTGGTCATGTGACTGCCATTTTTAGTCTTCACTGCTATCTTACAACTAGTAGAATCAACAGAAGCCAATAATGATATATTGCCCTTAACAACCTTGTAAGATCCATTTAATAACTACGTCTCCTATTAAGTTGGTGGTCACACAACATAGCATTTTATGTCATTTAACAATGGAGAATAGAATACAAATAGAATACAACCTGAAACAGTAAGACAAAACTACTGCAAATATCTCTGTAATACAAGCATCAGAGAAGCACACACTCTAATTTCTGTGTCTAAAATCACAGGCTAAGCTATATATTTTTTTCACCACAATCATATAACTCTTAACATACAGGATAAAATACAGGATAATAAAAACAAGGACAAATAGGCTGAAAAACAGCTTCTATCCCAGGGCAGTAACTCTATCATAATGTACACTGAAGATGGTACTTAATTTTGTTGTACGAGGTGCAATGACAATAAAGTAAACTAAACTATATATAAATTAAAATATCAAAAACATGAATATAAAACTGAAGCTATTTAAACAATTTGTTTTTGATATTCTTATTACAATGACATATATTTTTTCCCAATAAGTTCAGATTAAAGTTTATCCTTTTGGCTTCACTGAATAATAAATGGCCCAGTCATCCACAGAGAAAAGGGGCTGTGAAGGGATTGAGAGCATTCAACAAAGTAGTACAGATTCATTTCAGATCCTTTTATCTATATGCATGTGTAACCAATGATTTATGTACTACTAAAATGATTAAAACTAGAAAAAAACATAAGACTAAGGCAAATAAATTTAAAGAATCGAAGGAATAACAATATTTTAATTTTAAAGACACAAAACTAAGCCTCTCCAAGATCTTTTTAAAAGATTGTACAAACAGGCTGCAAAAGCCGATTTATTGTGTTTCTAATATTGACTACATTTATATCCCTTCTTTTCATACAGAAGCGCAAGAGCATAAATGCTCTAACTAGGCTGGAGTGAGACAGTGATTGCCTCACTATTTTCTATTAGAAGCACTTTAAAAAAATCATTCCTTTTGGATATTTTTTCAAGTCTGAATCTACAGGCAGCATGTAGCACTGACGAGCCCTAATGGTGCAGTGGTTAGCAATAGCACTTAAGCCCTCTAAGCGGCTTAGAGTCAGAATATTGCATCCAACAACCTCATTTTACCGACCTTGGAAGGCTGAGTCCACCTTGAGCCATTCAGAAACAAACTCCTGGCAGTGAATTAGCCTGCAGTACTGCATTCTAACCACTGCACCATCACAGCTCTTTAGTTAGAATGCAGTATTGCAGACAAACTCTGCCCAGAGCCTAGAGTTCGATTTTGACGGGGTTCAATGTTGACTCACCCTTCCAACATTGATAACATGAGAACCAGATTGTTGGGGGCAATATGACAGCATTGTAAACTACTCAGAGAATGCTATAAAGACTATGAGTGCTATTGCTACTATCCCAACTTCTGCTGTCCTAGGATAACGTGTGAGGTATAAAAGGGTTATTTCAAGTTCCTATTGTTCAAGTTCCTATTGTCTGAAACCATGCGGAACAAATGCCTTGTTTTGTTGCAAGTTCAGGAAAAGAGTATAAGGAAAAAGGACAATCTCAATTGTTTTCTAAAGTCCTACAGTCTGCTGCACTTGAAATGGCAGAAACATTTAAAAGTGTTTGATGAAAAACTGATTACATAGGCAGTTAACTGGCAACAAATACTGCAGAAAGTGAGTTCCTATTTGTACTTCATTATTTAGCTGCTTCCAAAATGCCATTTAACTCAAAAGTATTGCATGTTTTGTATTGTTTCAACCACATACCTTTTCCCTAGCCTCAATTTTTTTTGCCCATCTGGTGGCCTTCCATTTCTCATTAATGTTTTCTTTTTCCCAGGCAACTCGCACACATTTTTGACGAGCACTGTATTTAAAATATATATATATATATATATAAGATTACCTTTAGTTTACAATCAACATATCAACATACATTAAGATCCCTTAAAAATATTTATTTTTCTATACCAGAAAATTACTAATTTCTGCTAATATTTAAGTGAATGCTACAGAAAAAAACAAGGCAATAATCACAGCAACAATAACTTCCCATATTAGTCCCTTTTAAAAACTCTCACACAAAACATTATTTTCAAAAATACTTAGCTTTTCTTCTTTGAGGAAACAACTAGTAGACAGCTCAAATTATACTATACAATGGCTGCATTTGCAATTCATGCTATGCTAGTTTATTACAGGGACACAAATGTTTTTCCAGGAAGAGAGCCACATTCCGCCCCCAAAATAGGAAGAAAATATCAAATTATAACAAAATTACCAGAGTTGGAAGAGAGCATGAAGATCTCCTAATCCCCTCAAGTAGAAGACCCTATACCATTTCAAACCACAGCACCACCAACGCCGCCATCGTCTCGCACAGATCCATCAAGCTGCTGCCCAAAGCATCAGGCTGGCCCAGCCCATAGGAGTGAAGCAGCCAGCTAGAAAGGTTGAGTAGAGGTGGCATAACATGCCCATTCCCAGCAGGCAAAAGGTAGCCACCACGAGCAGGGAAAGCTGGATCCCCATCGGCACCCAAGCCCAGCTGGGATTGCATGCCTCAGCCATCTCTGCTGGGCCTGGGCAGCCAGGATGCTGATGGCGATCAGGCTTTCCCCACTAGCAGTGGCCATTTTTTGCCTGCTGAGCCTGGGCGGGTTTTACCAGCTTTACTTGGGCTAGCTGGCCGCTTCGCCTTTTTCGGGCTGGGCAGGTCTGCCGAGCAGCGATGCACCTCCTTCACCAGGGCTGCTAGGTGGGGAACCAAGCCCTACCCTGCCCTGCAAGGCAGCAACTCCAAAGCACTTTCAAGGCACTGTCCGACCAATGCAGTTCCTTCACATAGACCCCCTGAGGCTGCAGGCCCTTCCCTGGATTGAAGGCAGCCTTCTGTCTTGAAGGCCGCATCTCCACTCCGAGCTGAGAGTTGCAGCCAAATTCTCTGCTTTGCTGGCGTTCCTGGAAGGCATAGCTCGGCCACGGCACCTGGCAAGTGGTGGGGCGGCTCAGGGGCAGTGGGGCTTCCCTCTGCATGAGCGGGAAAGTCAGCAGGGCACTGTTAGAACTGGTGTCTGCTGATCCGGCCCTCAGTGAAATTGAGTTTGACACTCCTAATGCTTCATGTGATCTTGCTTCTATCCCTTTGTTAACGCAGCCAGACTGTATTGGGTTTTTAGGAAGCTGCAGCACAATGCTAGTTCATATTCCAATGGGTATCCACTAAGACTATTATTTCATTCTTTCTCAATTCATGAAAAGTGAACATAATATTAATATTATGTTCACTATTACAAGTCATGCATATAAGAAGAAAGCAGTTTGGTAAAGTACACTGTTCAAAAAAATAAAGGAAACACTTAAAACAACACAATGCAACTCCAAGTCAATCACACTTCTGTGAAATCAAACTGTCCACTTAGGTAGCAACACTGATTGACAATCAATTTCACATGCTGTTGTGCAAATGGAATAGACAACAGGTGGAAAGCATAGGCAGTTAGCAAGACATCCCCAATAAAGGAGTGGTTTTGCAGGTGGTGACCACAGACCACTTCTCAGTTCCTATGCTTTCTGGCTGATAGTTTGGTCACTTTTGAATGCTGGAGGTGCTTTCACTCTAGTGGTAGCATGAGACAGAGTCTACAACTGACACAGGTGGCTCAGGTAGTGCAGCTCATCCAGGATGGCACATCAATGCGAGCTGTGGCAAGGTTTGCTGTGTCTGTCAGCATAGTGTCCAGAGCATGGAGGCGCTACCAGGAGACAGGCCAGTACATCAGATGTGGAGGAGGCTGTAGGAGGGCAACAACCCAGCATTAGGACCGCTACCTCCGCCTTTGTGCAAGGAGGGACAGGAGCACTGCCAGAGCCCTGCAAAATGACCTCCAGCGGGCCATAAATGTGCATGTGGTTGCTCAAACGGTCAGAAACAGACTCCATGAAGGTGGTATGAGGGCCCAACGTCCACAGGTGGGGGTTGTGCTTACAGTCCAACACCATGCAGGACGTTTGGCATTTTCCAGAGAACACCAAGATTGGCAAATTCGCCACTGGTGCCCTGTACTCTTCACAGATGAAAGCAGGTTCACACTGAGCACACGTGACAGGGTTTGGAGACACCGTGGAGAACGTTCTGCTGCCTGCAACATCCTCCAGCATGACCGGTTTGGCAGTGGGTCAGTAATGGTGTGGGGTGGCATTTCTTTAGGGGGCTGCACAGCCCTCCATGTGCTCGCCAGAGGTAGCCTGACTGCCATTAGGTACCGAGATGAGATCCTCAGACCCCTTGTGAGACAATATGCTGGTGCGGTTAGCCCTGGGTTCCTCCTAATGCACGACAATGCTAGACCTCATGTGGCTGGAGTGTGTCAGCAGTTCCTGCAAGACGAAGGCATTGATGCTATGGACTGGCCCGCCCGTTCCCCAGACCTGAATCCAATTGAGCACATCTGGGACATCATGTCTCGCTCCATCCACCAACGTCACGTTGCACCACAGACTGTCCAGGAGTTGTGGGATGCTTTAGTCCAGGTGTGGGAGGAGATCCCTCAGGAGACCATCCGCCACCTCAGGAGCATGCCCAGGCATTGTAGGGAGATCATACAGGCACGTGGAGGCCACACACACTACTGAGTCTCATTTTGACTTGTTTTATGGACATTACATCAAAGTTGGATCAGCCTGAAGTGTTTTTTTCCACTTTAATTCTGAGTGTAACTCCAAATCCAGGCCTCCATGGGTTGCTAAATTTGATTTCCATTGATAATTTTTGTGTGATTTTGTTGTCAGCACATTCAACTATGTAATGAACAAAGTATTTAATAAGAATATTTCATTCATTCAGATCTAGGATGTCTTATTTTTGTGTTCCCTTTATTTTTTTGAGCAGTGTATTTTTGGAGGTTTCTAAGGTCTTCACCTAAGACTGAACACATGAGGACCTGGGGTTTCAGATTATGCTTCCTTGAGTAGCATGGTAGAACAAATATAGCCTACTGTGTGGTATTAATTCAGTACCTGAAATTAGAACTGGAACCTAAAACTGATAGGAAAGGAACAACAAAACTTTTATTAATTTATTTATAAAATACCCAATTTTCCAAATTGATTGCCTATACATAAAATAAACAATCCATATAAAACTCAGGACTGTTAGACCAAAGTAACATGGCTAAAAATGGCTTCCTAGTGACTATCCAATCTATCTACTGCCTAACTACCGTGTTTCTCATATAATAAGGCCGGGTCTTTTTTTTTTTTGAGCCCCGAAAAAATGGCTAGGCTGTCTTTTCGGGGGTGACTTAATTCCCCCCCCCATGCATCTTTACGTGGGCGGGTGGACGGCTTGGATGTTGACCTTGGCGTTGGTGGGGCACTTCGTATCGGGGTCAACACAGGCAGCACCATATCCGGGTGTGCAACAAAAGTACTTCCTAACGGCAAGCCCCCCCACAATTCCCCCCCATTTCGCATGTTTTAATATAGGTCTTAATTTGGGGGGAGGGGCTTAATTTCATTTCATGCCTATAAAACGTGCTGGGACTTCCTATTGGGGGAGGCCGTATTGTTGGAGAAACAGGGTAAGAAGTAATCCAGGGTTTTCTAGAATGTTAAGTGAAGGGACCAGCGTTAGTTTTGTCCAGGATAATCTATAAGTGTAATGGCGAACCTATAGCACGCGTGCTGGCAGAGCCACTTCCGCCAGCACGCAAGAGGTCGCTTGGAAGAGCCCCACTGCACATGCGCATAGGCATGCAGTGCGGGCTCATGCGCAGAGGGTTGCATGTGCATTGCATTATGGGTGCAAGCACACAAGCACTTTTGGCACGCAGCATGGAAAAGGTTAGCCGTCACTGATCTATAACAATAATTTAAACAAGCCCAATCTTATAGGGCAAGCAAAATTATTAGTGCAATGGTTCCTGGTCTCTACCATATAAGCTCTAAAGGTAATAATCAGCACTTGGAACAGAGTCCAGATATTTAGCATGACACATGGTAATAAAGTATCACATCTTTGTACAGTTAAGGCATAAGTGAATATAGAGACAAAAACTTCCTTAGCCATGGCTTCTATCTGCAGATCTACTAAGACAGTGAGTCCAGGACAAACGCAAGTAACAGCACTGCTCCTTTAGGGACAATAGGATTCCACCTAGAGCATAGTTGTTCAACCTTTTGGTTTGCCTGGGACTCATTGAGCGAATAGGAATTGTCTTGGGCTGTATATGAAATATGTAATATAGCCAATCTTTATAAATAATACACTTCGTTTATTTTTTATTTTTTTTATCTTATGGAACTGCATGTGGCCCATGAGTTGGACATGCCTGATCTAAAGCCAATATTGGTACTAAAGTAATTGTAATATTTTTAGGAATTTCTAAATGTTTATTTGTTAACAGAAATCTAGCTAAGACATAAATAGAGCTCCTTTCAAGTCATCGGTCTTCATCAAGACTTCCAAAGTATCGGGGAAGAAGGCAGAGCCTCCTCGCCGACGGACGGTAGATCGCAACTCTCTGGGGCTATCGTTCGTGCTCTTTTGTCGGAGAGCCCCAATCATTCTGATTAGGGGCTGAAACTGCCTTGGAGGGGCAGCGGAGTAAGAGGAAGCAGCAAGCCTGATTGTGGGGAGCTGCATCTCCCCCCCCCCCCGGCTTGGTTTTTTTTCCTCCCGAAGACGACTGCAGGGATGGTCTAAAATGGCCATCCCGAAGAGGATGACTCAGCTCGACTAAGATTTGTGCAGGAGGGAAGAAAGAGGTGGATAACATCTGAACCGGGACAACTGGGCAATATAACCAAATAAAAGTACCCCGGGATTAAGGTAACATAGAATTTTTAAGAAAAGAAAAGTGAGCGGCGAAATTACAAAGGGACAGAGAAAAAAAGAAAAATATTTTTGACAGCTAAATGGGGCTTCGAACCGGGAAAGGAAGAAGCTGGAATTAAAGATTTAATGAAATTGGACTAAAATAATTTGGGAATAAACAAGTATAAAACTAAAGCTGGACTTAAGATTGTCAAAGAATAATAATAACAAAGTTTACAAATTGGAGACTGGATTGTGTTGGAATATTGAGGTTCGAAAAACAAATAAAAATATAGGGGGAAAAAGTGAAGACTTTATATAATGGAGAGTGTCACCTTTTGATAAAAATTTAGTTCAAATAAAAGGGAAAGCATCTTGTTTTTGAATGAACTGGTGTGGATATAACATTACAGAAATATTGAAACAAAGTAAGAATTTTAGAAAGTGAAAGCAGAACCAGAATAAAGGAAAAAGCAAGGAAAGATTGTTTGTGGGACTGATTAATGTTTTTGGTATAAACCCTGGACTGGAATAGCCGAGAACTTTAAAAAACTGAAAGAAGAAAGAAGGAAAGTAAAAGTGGTTTCTTTTTGTGGACTTTAACGATCATAAAATATAAGAATGATGATATCTCTTCGGGAATTAAAAATGGAACTTAAAAATATGAGAGAATTACTACAGAAAAGAGGCGAATCACTTTGCTCTGCGCTAGAAAAAATGGAAATGGCGATTGAAGAACAAGAAGAAAGATTCTCAGAGGAGGAGGAATCGACTCAAGAAGACATTTTAAATAGACAATTAACACAAAGAACGCTACAAAGAAGTGGGGAAAGAAGGAAGGTTAAAAAGTTGAGTTTTAAGAAGGCAATTAAAAGAGGGAATACCTGTGAAGTCAGAAAAGGCAGGAAGATTCAGCAGAAAAGGGGAAAGGAAGATATTAAGAAAGAGATAAATTGGAATGAGAAAAGATATGGGGAAAAGAGAGGGGGGAGAAGCAGCAAGAAACAGGCATGTGAAAGAAAGAAACACAGAACTAGTAAAATGTTGAAAAGAAATTGCTTTTTCAGAGATAATGGTTGATGAAGTAAAAAGGGGGATTCTGCAGGGTGACAAGGGGTAATAAGAATATCTCTGCAATTAAAAATATTTAGAAAATAGGGTAATATAGATACTGATAACTTTTATTAAAGGGGGGGGGGGAAATATGCTGTGGAATCCAATTGAAAAGATGTAATGATTAATGGTTTATTGGGAATTAAGATGAGGGAATAAAGGTATATTCTAATCATTAAGGTGTCACACTCAAAATAGTAAGAGGGGAAACTTATACTTGTTCTTTTTTCTTTTTGTTGTGGGTGTGTTAAGATCTGTATTAATTTAGAATTCATAAAAGAAAATGTGTAATGGAAAGGGAATATGACAGACTAAAGAACCAGCTAAATTAATAAGTTTAATATAGATTATTAAAAGCAAGGAGAGACATTGGTAACTTCATTATTACCACTATTAGGCAAATATATATTGTTTATTTTTATTTTTAAAATAAATATTAAGGAATATATTTGAAATAATTGAAATGAAATAAAAAGATGTTTAGATTGAGATTAATGAAACTTAGAATTAAACTTTATTATTATTTATTAGGCAAACACATATTGTTTATCTTTATGTTTAAAAACAAATACTAAAGGATTATATTTGAAATAATTGAAATGAAACAAAATTGATTGAGATTAATGAAATAGGCTAGAATTAATGTGTTTGTTTCTCTCCTTACTGAAAATTTGGAATGGAAAAGGTAATAATAGAATTAAGTATGCATATATCAATGTATAATTTCTGTCATATTTGTATGTAAAGATGATGACCCGGAAATATGTTGTCCACTAAAAAGAGATTTTTCTTTTTAATGTGAAAAACTGAATAAAGTCTGTTAAAAAAAAAAAAAGACTTCCAAAGTATCTCCATCTCAGTTTTAGTTACCAACATCTCATACTAATAACTCAACCCAAACTGATGGATAACATTTGCCAATTTTTCATATACATATACATACATACACACACATATATATATATCTTCTAAATAAGCCAGCTTTAAATACACTCAGAAGTAATATTAATAATCACAATTGTGTTGTGCTTTGGAATATACAGGTAGTCCTTGACTTATGACAATTTGTTGGCCAAAATTTCTGTTGCTAAGTGAGACATTTGTTGAGTATTGCCTCAATTTACAACCTTACTTGCTACAGTTGCTAATTGAATCACTGTCATTGTTAAATTAGTAACAGTTAAGTAAATATGGCTTCCCCATTGATTTGCTTGTCTGAAGATTACAAAAGGACATCACCTGACTCTAAGATATTGCAACCATTATTAATATGAATTAGCTGCCAAGTGTCTGAATTTTGATCACATGACTATGACAGTACTGCAATGGTCGTAAATGTGAAAGTCACACTTAAGTCACTTTTTAGTGCCATTAATTTTGAACATCACTAAATGAATTGTTGTAAGTCGAGGACTACCTGTAAAATAGCTGCATAATTCTGAAAAAAAAATACTTTTATATCTTGTACAACCATTTTGATAATTTACTTTAAATTAAATAGAAAATTAAAATAACAGCCCATGCTGACATCAAGGATTTTTCTTGGGAATAAATATACAAGAGCTCTTTCTCCATATTCTCATAAAGTTTTCAATAATAATAAAATAGGATATACTCTTCACATTCTTGCAATACCAGCAGTAAGGCAAGTATTTCTTTGATTTAAATTTAGAGGTAGTAATATTGAAGTACCATAACCAACCTGTGAGGAAACTTCAGAACAAAATCAGTTAATTGCATGCATTTGAAGGGCATAGCCTGCCTTTTGACACCACTGCAAGGGCCATCAACTAGGGCCTGTAAAAACCAAGGGAGAAATGTATTTTCCAGATTAACATTTAATGCAAAAAAATACTTTCAACAGCCTACAAAAAACCCCGGATTTATTAAAAGCATAGCTTTTAAGAAGTAAATGGAGTTTTAATGGAAATATGGGTTTTTCCTTATTTTCAGCTCATTTCACGTAACATTATAAGACACCATAGGTTTTAATTTCTATCAAGATTTAAAAAGAAGATTTAAAGGAGCCTCAAGAACACTAGTGTGAATACTATTTTATACCAACATAACTATTTCACATCACAAACCAATATACATTCTTCTTAAAGGTACTTTTATTGAAAAGGATGTTATATATTAGCAAATTACAAAAGATTTTCCTTAAGTACTTATAAATAAACTTGCCCAAAATAATCATACCTAGGAAAGTAAAATGTGCTTTTATCCATAATGCAATCACTGTACTTTAAAAGAATTCAGAGGAAATCAAGCTTGGTTACAGAAACTAACTTGGAGAAACACCTATACAAGATTGTATCTTTCAAAGTATAATGTACTCAGAAAGCTACCTGTTCAGATACTCATCTAGGAAATCTAGCTTGTTGAGAAGTTAGAGGCCTGCACTTTTATATTAACTATTAAAAAATCTCCTTCTCTAACTAGTATGTTAATAACCTCTTGAGTGTTTAACATAAATCATATTTTCTAAAAGACACACTCAACTATGTAGAAAAGGAAGCTACATAGTAAGAAAAACCACAGTATTATCTTCTATGTGGTATAGCTGTGTTATTATCCTTCTCATCTTTATTATAACTTTCTTATTGATATTTATTATTGTTGTTATTATCATAACCATCACTTTGTTTTACACATGCACTGAGTTTCTGCACTGGAGACAAATTCCTTGTGTGTCTAACCACTCTTGGCCAATTAAAATATTGTATATTATTCTTTTGGTGGACTAAAGGATGGAATAAAGAGTGCTAAGTGCAATTTTTTATCACTTTGTATCACAATACACCATCTTAAACATATAACATAAGCAGTGAAACTTACCCTGTTTTGGTCGATGATGTCAACCACTGCAACTAGTTTTCCTGCATGTGGTCCAAATGAAATGTAAGCAACTCGGCCAATCTCAACATAACGCTTGAACACCTTAATCAGATAAAGTTTAATTATTCAAATGATTTATTACTAGACAAGTGTATAGAATTATGCAGCTCTTCTAACAGTCCTTCAAAGAAAGAAACTTCTTTACATGCTATACTGAACTTTGAAATAATTGAAATATAATTATAATACAATATATTCTCAGCCCAAAACCATTTAGATGTGATAGGGTAGACACGTCATAAATTTGCAAACACGCGGCCCTAGAAGTTACAGAAATCTAAGAAACTTCTGTTAAAAGACTTTCTCACCATGGCCGAGAAGTATTATTCTATCTTCCGAACCAGAAGAGAATGATAAAAAAGCTGACAAAATCCCACCCCCGGCCCTCGTTAACCGTCCGCTTCCATCTCTTCCATTTACGCCCAAGATAAGCCCTTCTCCCCACGTCTTTCCATCTTCCTCTTTCTCGGCTTAAATCAGCTGAGGGAAAATGGACGGCTATCCCGAAACCTTTCACAATCACTCTCGACTTCAGCGAATCTTAAGAAAAGCGCCTTGGACAAGGCCTCGGCCATTAGCCCGCGATTACCATGATGGCTGCCACACGAGTCGATTCACAAAAAGAGAAAGAACGGCTTCCAGATGCCTCGTGATACCTCAACTGCGGATGTGCAACAGAGGAAGAGGCGGGACTCAGTCGCTCTATTCGCGGCGAACTGCAGGCTGCATAGCAGAGATTGGACAATTGGATAGGAGAAAATCCGCGTTGACTGATAACTACTATTACGCACGCGCATTACTGGCCCTTTTCCTCCCTCCCCCCATGAACGAAATCAATTGGATGAATGTACACGATTTCTTGCTCATGCGTTGTCCGGTGGAAGAACTCTGAGAGACTGTCTCCTTGTTCTCCTCCCATCTTTTAAACTATGTTCATATGGATGTAGGTATGTTGATTGTAGCCTGTAATAAATTCATGAGCAAACCGTGGCAACTTTAAGCTTTCTCGACTGACTTCACGGCCCGAATTTGAACTGTATGCATCATGTTGTGTGGACAGAGCCACTGGGTTTGCCAAAAAATGGAGTTTATTACTGGCTTGTTTGGGAGTTCCTGAAGGTATACGAAGGAAAAAAAGCACTCAAGTTGTGTTGGCTTTTAACAGAAAGTTAGCACCCACCCCTCTCCTAGAAGAATGAAATATTCTAGGAAATATTAAAAAGGCAAAAAGGAGAAACATGCTGTTGGAAAGCAGCCTCCACCTTTGTTAATAGCCCCAGAAAGACAGCCATCCTATCTACAAGACCAAAGACGATAAGCTCCAGGGTGATGGGATCACTCAGATCCAAGCTAGTAAGCCATAATAGGAATTGACCAAACCCTCTTCATTACATCACCCAGCAAGATTCAACCAAGCCTGGGATTCAAGACAACCTACAAAGTTATCCCTGCATGGCCCCATGGGAGTCTGACAACCAATCAGGATACATTTCTTGCCACAAGAACAGGAAGCAAGTTCAAAGCCTAATGGTATAAATCTCTCCCTCTCTCACCCATGTGCTCCATTTTGCCTAGGACTTCAAACCCCATGTGGCCCTGTCCACCATTAAACCATCTTTTCAAGCAGTTTCCATGTTTCCAGTATCTTTCTCCTCACTTGGAACCCAGATGGACATTTCTTCCAACAACATACAGGCTTTTAAATTTTTCAGTCTGCCTTTTAAACAGACGTTTTTGTATTTCAACATCTTTCTTTGTGACAGATTATGTTTGTAACCTATCCTGATTAGATATGAATGTCTTATAAAAGTAAAAGAATCCTTATTCTAATAATTAGAACGGCCAGAGACAAGTATGACATGTAAACAGTTAAAAATGGGGAAACATTGCTTCTAAAACTGGTTGAAACACAAATATGATCATCAAAAAGGAAGTGTGCCAGTGTTCTGTATTCTGTACAGTGATAGATTTTGTCTTCGACCATAACTGCTATAGCTTCTTTTCTAAAATGGATGAGCATCCCAAGGAGACTGTTCGTGAGGTCAGGTCCTGTCAGAAGGGCCTTATTCAGAGAGTGGCCTTGAAATTGTGCACTGGTGTTGAAGACTACATGTATTTGGCCCGGTTTCTGTGGATGATACACTCCAAAGAAAGGCAGGTACCAACATTCATCAGTTTCCAGGGGTGGGGCTGGCTCAGCGTGTCCGTTTTGTATCATTTTGTCCAAGAACTCCACCAGATGAGTTTTCATCTCTGGCTTCCGGGTCATGATTTGTCTCAGACTGAAGAGGCGGGAGAGTGCATATTGTTTGTTGTTGGGCAAGCGTGCTCTGGGAGTGCGAAAGGGTAGTGGCACAACTCAACTACCCTTTGTGTCTTGTTGTGTCCTTATCCATGAGATAAAGGAATCATTTGTAGCGAGTGCTGCTCATCCACATAGGCCTTGACCCGTGTATCTGGGCTCTCTTCTCCCAACTCTTTGAGGTCGAACTTGAGGGAGGCAGCATTGGCCACCTTCTGCCATGCTGTGGCCCATGCTGTTTTCGCTGCCATCTCTCTTTGTCGTTCGAGTAGCTCCACTTGGACCTGAGTTTTGGCTATTTCTGCCTGTTGTTTGGCCATTTCTGCTTGTTGACTGGCCATTTCAGCTTTCTGCTGTATCACCTCTGTTGTAATATGTAAATCTGCCTCTGCTGCTGCAGCTTCAACTTGGGCTTCTACAGCTCATTCGGCATAGCTGGCTGCTTTGGAGGCCCGAGATGCACCTCTACGATGGGAGGATGCTGTGCAAGGATGGTGAGAGCTGGCAGCAGAGAATTGGCGTGAGACACTGGAACCTGCTTGCGAGCTAGCCGTTTTAGGGTGGAGGGAGGAGGCTTTCTTTGAGTGGTGGGAAGAAGACACGTGATCAAGGAGCTATGTTGGATGTGGCCTGCTCCCTTGACGCTACTTCCTGCCAAAGTGCATTGTGGAGCGTTGCCTGGAGGGCTGTTTTGCTTTCCTTGACACAGTCTTCGTGTTCCTTGTAAATCTCCTCAAAGCATTGGACATGTTTTAGGAGTTTGGGGTCACCCAGTCTTGACTGGATGGATTTGAGGTTGTCTTTGCTGTGTCTCCACCGTGCGAGAAGGACATCTAAATCAACTAGCAAGGTGCGGAGTTTCTCGAGGGGCAGCTTGGGTTTTGGTGCGTCACAGATCTTCTCAAGCTCCGACCATGAGTCTGCATAGCAATATTGTTTCTCCCAATCATTCCTCAAGTGTTCTTCCATGGGTTCAGTAAGCTTTTTACTCTTTCTGAGGTTGTAGGCTTTCTGAGGTATCGCCATGTCTACGAAGGTTTGGATATCCGGATGAAGATTTTGGGAACCAGGCTCCACCTTTACATCTAGGGTGGGTGGAGGTTTCGAGTCCTCTGGTACTTCAGGGACATCTGTCATGGCTGAAGCAGTTGCCATGTTTCAAATTGGTAAACAGTGACTTGGAAAATTTAGTGGTTTTTCGTACAATTCCCTTTTTCTTGTACTAGGGTGCGCTGCAAACAGGTAACTGAACGTAACAACTTCTGCGAAATTCAGTACTTGACCATGTAGATGGCGCTGCAGACGTGTGGCTGAATTGAGCAGGTTCTGCCAAATTCGATGGTTGACCACTAGAGATGTGCGTTGCAAGAGTGGGAGATGCAGACAAAGTACACAATTCCGCCACTTAGGGTGTGGTGCGAAGTCTGGGAGACTTTTAGCGCAGAGCACAAATTTGCCTGTTTGTGGTACTTGCTAGGTCTGGAAGACACCGTTGCTAAGCACAGATTAGGTCTCTTAGTGATGCTTGACCATTTGGGTTAAAGTGGGAAGTTTTTTGGGGGGGAATTTTCTACTTGACCACCAGATGGTGCTAGAATCTAGCAGTTGAATGGCAATTGAGGAGGCTGGAAGGAAATGCTTTAAAATGTTGCATGGCCACCGTGGTTGCTTTTAGATTGCTACTAATTTTTTAAAGGAAAACTCCTTATTGACTTCAGCAGGATAGTAAAAGGCAAGATGCTGACTTTGTTTAAATCATTGCTAGATTAAGTGTCTCTCTTCAGGGAGGAGGAATGTGCCCATTGCTCTGGAGACGGCTCTGGCAGGAGGAATGTTTATGACCCTGGCCTCTTTTATTGCTTTGCCTCCCTTCCAAATGAGCAGAGGAAGATCACCTTTCATTTTACCTATAAGCACACAGGCATAACTTCTCAGACTTTCTCACTGCATTTGTAGGTTTTAAGACAGAGGTTTGATTTTCCTTTGAGAGCTGGGGAATTTCTGACTCTCCTTGATATGCAAATGGAGTCTCTGAGAGAGCAGGAAGACAAATTGAGCAGAGGAGAGGAGGGGTGGGTTCCTGTAATTCAAACTGGTTTGCAACTCTGCGGCTCAGAAAGAGCTCTCTTTGTCTCTAGCATGTGGAGAATTCCAGCCCCTCCCACAATCCAAACAGCGTGTAAAAGGTTCTCTCTCTCTTGCAGAGAGAGAGAGATGATGATGAGAATTCAGGTTTAGATTAACATTGCATATTCACTCCTGGCTTCAATATTACGTTGCTTATCACAAATCCAAATTAACTGTCTTTATACTGATGGGCTTCAGGACTTCAAATTAACCATCTTTTTACTGTTCTGTATTCTGTACAGTGGTAGATTTTGTCTTCTGCACAGATGCAGATAGATAAACTCAACAAAACGTACATACAAAGTCTTTACTATTGGTTCATCAGGTATCCTCATAACTCACATTTGTGATGAAGTTCTTCTTTAATGACCAATCCTTTGTATATCTGTCTTGTAGGTAAAAAGATGGTTATCTCCTATCCTTTTTCTCTCATCTTGTAATGATAGAAGAAGAACAGTTACCACGAGTCCGTGAGTTCAGCCAAGAGTGAGGAAACCTCCAACCCATCAAGGGTCAATTTAGTGACTAATCAGGATTACAGATGTGGTCACGTGACATGGACTACATTTCCCAGGATACCTTAACTACATTTACCATGATGCATTCCCTTAAGGGGACAGCTCATAATTGCTATCTAACTATCCAATTCCCATACACTGGCTGGACAGCACAGCCAGGTCTGGACAATATGTACAAATTAGGGAGTCCCATTGATCAAGAGTTCCCATGCTAGGTCTAGATGATAATCATGCATAACCATCCAACTGATTTAGGCTTGCCTGAACGCTAGTAGTGATATTTTCTCTTGCATGGAAATGTACTCCAGATTAAAATCAGATTCTCCATGCAGAATATCAGTACTACTAATGTGGTGTTTTTTAAATATTTTTGGAAAAGAGGAAATAAATAGTTTGTGATGTGTTTGATACCACTGCTGCTGGGGCTGAATAGTTAGGAATTTCTCTTTTGAATGTGCAAAAGACAAATAGCATTAATCTTTTCTTATTTGCCAACTTCATTTAAATGCCTCCGAAAGAAAACACTGCCAAAAAGCATATGCTACAGACCTCCAATTAACCACCCACAAGAATGGAAACTAGCCTACAAAAATGGGTGTAAAATGCTTCAGTTCATCATTTACTGATGCACTCATCATCTGAAGAAATACCAAAGCATCATCAATGAACAAAAAACTACAATTAGACAAGATCTTACGGGCAAACTGAAAAACACAATCAGGATGATAACTGACAAACTCCAAACCAGAAAAAAAATGCCTTACCAAAGAAACTAGCCAAGATCACTTCTAAACAGCAAGATGACAATTCAAATTCATGGATAAAAACTTGTGCAATAGTCCATTATCTGAAAACAAAAAAGCCATCCTCATAAAAGGCCTTAATTTTAACTACAAAAAATGTGAACCTAGTTAATTTCCTTGCCAACTTAGAATGCATAATGAAAACTAACAAACTTGACCAGGGAACACAAGAGGACATCAGAGAATTATTCCTAACATCCAATGAAACAGACGAGACACTTAACCAAGAGGAGAAAAAGGCATTTAAGAAACTTAGAAAAGATAGACATTGTCCGCCTACTGGCAGACAAAGGCAGACTAACTGTGGTAAATGGAAAAAACTGATTACATTAAGAAAGCCAAGAATTTACTTAATGATACTAATACCTACGAGGTAATCAACAAAGATCCAACAAAATAATTAGAGAATGGTAAAAATGGAAAAACAAAAACAACTAACTTCAACAGAAATATTTTTTTTCCTACCGTAAGGCTCCACTATACCCAGATTTTCACTGGCATCAGTTTTACACATGAGGAAGAAAAAGAATGATTCCCTTTTCTAGATACTGGCATAAAGAGACAAGATAATGGCGAATTAACAACCTGCATATACTGAAAATCCATGCACACAGACTAAATTCTAAATTTCACAAGCAACTACCCCACTGCACACAAGTGGAGCTGCTTCCAGACCCTTCTCAAAAGAGCCAAAACACACTGCAACACCCAGGCATTAAGAAAAGCAGAAGAGAAACAACTTTTTGATGTTTTCCTGTACAATGGCTATTCCAAAAAAATTCATAATATCTTTGTCATTGAAAATACAAGGCCAAACACAACACAAAAACAAGTCCTGCCATACATCAAAAGAACATCCAAAATGGCTGCCAGAATTTTATTCTTAGGGCAATCCCTAGGAATAACGATAGCTCACAAACCCACTTTTACACACAGAAAAGAGCTATTTTGTCAAAGACAAAATACAGAAGGAAGATAACAGCAACATAGTATACAAAATCTGTAGCAACAACTGTAACCAATTCTATGTGGGACAGACAGGAAGGCAATTGAAAACAAGGTTTCATGAACATCAACTAGCAGTTAAATGTTATGACCAAAAATCCCAGATCTCAAACCACATTGATAATAAGCAACACCAGCTTGACTGGGAAGGAACAAAAATTATTGGCCATGTCAGCACCTGCCACAGAGATGATTTTATTGAAGCTTGGTATTCAATCAAAGGAGCAATTAACAAGCATATTGATCTAGATCCAGCATATGAATACATAAGAGACCAGACCATTTGAATGACCAATCTACAAGAGAACCAATCAGCTGCTTACAATTTAAATATAGCTCCAAATGAACAACCAACAATATGAACAACTGACCACTGGCACACTAGATATTTATAAGCTAAGGAGAATAGCACAAGAAAATCCTGTTGATTATGTTGAAACTAGCTTGGAGATCAAACCACTGCCAAAAGAGTGCCTCTATTTAAAAAATTAGTTTTCTCCCCCCACCCTTTCATTTTGGCTATTTATCAAAAATCTCTCCTTCATCCTTTTCTTTTATAGCTTTGCATCTTCTAGAAACATTGACCTTGCTGTCTTGAGAATTGTAGCCCCAACAAATTGGATGGAGGGACAGGACGATGACAATAACTTTGAAAAACTGGGGTATATTGAAATTCAAAGCACTTTTAATGAGCAACATGGAAAGATTTGGGAGACTACCTGAGTGTTTCAGACTTGCAATCAAACTGATGGGTTGGGAACATTGAACATTGTATGCCTTGCATTAGAGAGGAGATTTTGTACTGAGTTTATTGACTTCATGCAAACATAATGCATGAATTCTATCACTGGCACATCAATCAGTTGGCAACAATATTTTAGAGATACTAGAACTCTATCATTTTTTAAGCTGTTTCCCGATTGTGAATCTTTCCTTCCCAATGAATCTAAATATGTAGGAATTATTTTTCCAGTAAAGTTGGAACATATTTTTCTAATAACTATGTACTTTGATTCTTGTCACATTCCTTTTGCATATATGAAATTAGTTTTTTGCATTTCATATTATAATCTTATCATTAATTACTATAGTGAATTACCAATTCCCACTTCATGAATTTTGTAAAAGGTCATTTCTCAAATTATTCTTTAATCATCCTGATCAGAAATACAAACAAGCCTGACTAATTTACTTTAGGTGATTTTCCCCCTCCCATCAAAAGGGGTAAAGGCTATTTAGTTATTGGGTAAATTAAAACTATCTCCTTCTGATAGTCCTTTGTCCCTTGCATATTAGGACTGCTTGATTTATTATTTTTATATCTGCATATATACAATTAAATCCTGAACTCCATCAATGTTCTAGATGAGACTAAAATAGATTGAGGTCCTCATAATGTGATTCTTTCTTATAGGTACTGTGGGTCTCCCCCCGTGCTTTTTACATAATTAGTGAAAGTTCTGGTCTCTTTTTTGAACTTATTTTATTCTATGGCAAACACATGTTCAACTTGACAAGTGTTCTTTTGCATGTGAGACCGAACATATGAATACACCAGGAAAATCAGACACAGTAATGCCACTGCTGTGAAGAAGAGTAGCAATCCAGCAAACAGAGAAGGATTCATAGGTAACCAAATCCTATTGCTTTCTGCTGGGATCATATTGGTGAGGCTAAGCATATAGCCCAGTGACCAGGCAATGCTGCTGTTATCAACCTAAAACACAAAAAAGAAACATTACTGCCATTAAAATGTGTTATTACAAAAAGCAAATGCTCTATATCAGGCATGTCCAATCTATAGCTAGTAATGCAGCCCCACAAAAACTTTTAACATTATGTAATTTACATGCATTAACTATATATATAAAATATATACAGCCCAATACAATTCCTCTTCATTCAATATAAATCAGGCAAGCCAAAAGTATGCTCTAATCAACATAAAGACACTTCTTAATGAATTCAATTCCTTGTGACGAAATGAATATGTCCTTGTACTTTTTAATTTTAAAACAACACTGAAATGATTTACTTATCTTCTTTTGGATTTTTTTGTTGCTAAAAATATAATTTCTTTATAATTTCTCATTGAAGTATTAATCAGGCCCCACCCTTCACCCATCTTGTACAATTGATGCTATGACCTATCTTTGCCAACTGGATGCACAGATGAGGGAAATATTTCTGACAGCAGATCAGTATTTCTCTGCTGCTTTTTAAAAAAGTAATAGTACATATATTTGAATACAAAAATTGTATAAGCCTTCAGTTCATGTATTCTTTTATCTTTCTGTAGAGTAAGGAATTGTATCAGAGTCAGAATTGTAGTGGCCTCCAAACATGCATATTAAACATATTAGGGAAACTATAATCAAAACTACTATTCTAATTTTGGATACTATGATGGTTTTATCATCTATGAGAAATAGCAATAAGAGGGGCAAAAATTGCACATTTTAATGTTAATGTCTAATTATTTGAGAGGATCTTTTCGTTTACAATCTTATTTTGTGGGATTTCATTTTATTCTTCCAAAGATTAATTGAAACCTTTGGTCCAGTTTAAAGGACAACACATGCATTTTAAAAACAAATAATTTCTACAATACTGAACAGGAACATTTATGCAGACAGTTACATGGTAAATATTTAACTTTTCCCAAAGCTAAATCTATGATAAGAAAGGCTCATGTTGCAAATCTTATTAGTTTGCTTCATCCATTGTGTTAAAACTATTGCTTATTTAACCAGAGTTTATTGAATTACCGCATTTGTTGCAGTGGTGAGATTCAAATTTTTTTACTACCAGTTCTGTGGGTGTGGCTTGGTAGGCGTGACAAGGGAAGGATACTATAAAATCTCCAGTCAGAGGTGGTATTTGCTGATTCTCCGAATTATTCAAAATTTCCGCTACCGGTTCTCCAGAACTGGTGAGAACCTGCTGAATACCACCTCTGGTTTGTTGGGTTTACTCAACATACTAAATCAAAACCAAGCAAATCACAATATAGCTTAGCCCAATGTGTGATTAAATGCTGTGTAATGGTTGTCATATTGCAAAAAAGTAAAAGTAAAATCAAAATGATCTTAGAACTGCTGCAAAGAAAAATTAGTGTGGCATTTCAATGTATTATCTTTCCCTTAATGTATTGCATTTTCCTTCTTCGGAGCTGAAGAAGCTACTTGGACAAGAAGAGAAATGTCTTCAAAGAAAAATAAAGTCCAGTTGCCTCTTGAAAAATCATCTTTGGGACAACCATGACCTGGATGACTGAGAATCTCCATAGACATGCATAAGGCAAGATAAAAACATAAAGGACTTAAAATGAATGCTTCTTTCTATAGTCAGGAGCATCTGAAGATATTTAATACATTAAATCTAAATGATAAATCCAGACTTATTGGACAGATTTAAGTTCTGTCCAATAGTATGAATTAAAAGTCCCCAAATCTACCACCCAGACATATTTTATCATTGGACCATAATAAGCTAATTTCTTTACTGAGGCAGCTTTAAGAATATGTATGGAGAATGGCTATAAAATGGCTCTAACTCCTTCCAGATCTTTTAATTCTTCAAGACATGTGTTTTTCTCAAATAATCTTAAAACATAGTTAACTTACTTCTTTTTGAAAATGAATCTGAGGCCAGTTGTCAGCATTGAACTTATAGCCATGTACAAGTAAATGGTAGATATAGTTTGCTGAAAAGCAGTAAGATCTTGCATATGTTTCCTCAAATTTAGAGAGCATAAATGGCAACTGAAAAACAAAACTGACTATTGATAACTAAGATTTATTTTTTAAAAATATATATTTCCTACTTTTCTGTTGTGATTGCAATGGTTAAAATACTTAAGAAAGTGATTTCCTGAAATCTCATGGAGAGATCTTTGGTGTAATTAATTGCAAATTCAAGTATCTCAAGAAATATTAATACAATAGGCAAATAATATCATGTCAGGAAGTAACTTTCAGTTTAATTTTCAATATATATTCCAGAGAAAAGAAAGTTTGATGTAAAGAGAGTTCTTGATTTGCAACCATTCGTTTATTGCAGGGGTCGCCAACTTTTTGTACCTCAGGGACCACCAAATTCATAATTTTAAATCCCACAGACCACTAATATCAATCCATCATGCCGCTTGCTAAAGTGTCTGGACTCCCACTGACAGGATGGGGTCCTTCAAGCACTTAACTTGGCTGCCTGTTTCTGCAACCTTAAATACTCAAAGAGTCATTTGAACCCATTTCCCACAGAAAACAAAACACCGGGATCTCTCCTCTCCTCTCTCACTTTCTCTCTTGCCCTCCCTCTCGCCCTCTCTCTCTACTCCCTTTCTCCCTCTTTCTTTCTTTCTCTTTCCCTACCTCCCTCTCTCTTTCTCCCTTTCTCCCTCTTTCTCTCTCTCTTTTCCTCCCCATTCTCTTTCTCTCTTTCTCCCTCTCTCTTCCGCTCTCTCTCTGTCCCCGGGAGTGGAGGTGGGAGTAAAGAAACCTCTGAACTGGTGCTGGGTGGTGAGAATCTGATGTCCAGAGGCCGACAAGCCATGTGCTGAAGATCAGGCAGGGAGGTGGGGCAACAGGAGTGATACAGGTGGCAGATGGACTGATACACATGGGAGATCGCAGCATCAGAGCCCTTCCCAGGTGTTCCTGGCCTGCGAGGGGTGGGGGTGGGAGGAAAGGAACCTTTGAACTGGTGTTACCTCCTGCCTCCTACCTCCATGCATCGAGGAGGACCTTTTGCTAGTATTTTTTTTAAAGCTAGAGATTGTTACAGACCTGATTCCAATCCTGTGAACAGAAAGTCCACATACTAGAATTGAACTCAGCCAGTGAAAATTGTCCAGTTAAATTCAGAGCATTGACTGTGTAGTAAAATCCAGAAAAGGCCTATAAATAAAGTCATGTTAGTGACTGCAAAAACATTTTGCTTGAAGGTTTATTTTATTACAGCAAAAAGGTATATTTGTCTTTCTCATCCGCTAGCAAATATTAAATATAAAAACTACAGTACAATAAAATTAGAAACAGTATCTATACTATTCATGTCCCACCAAGTAAACAATGCTGTAAGCAGCCAATAATCAGGACTTACCACGAAATTCCCTTTAACTTTTGGCCGGTAGATTCCATTGAATGAACAGTCTTCTCTATCTCTACAAGATTTGAAATCAAATAACGTTGACACTGCCTCCCTGCAAAAGACTGGATCCCCTGTTCCTATGATGTCTACATACTGGCTTGGACTGTAGTTCACTGGTTTTAGAAATGCTGTGCAAAGGCTTCCATATAAATGTTTCATTGTCAGAACAGTTCTATAACTCTGAGGATAGCATGGATTTTTTATCCAGGATTTATTATTTGAATCCTAAAAGTTTATCAAAACACATATGAAATAAAAAGACAAAGCCAAGAAGATTCATTACAAGGCACTTATAAACAAAGCACGCCCATTTTAATTTTTTCAAGAAATCTCTCTCTCCCTCTCCCTCTCTCTCTTCATTTTTTTTCCTATGGCCAGAGTATTCCTGGGAATAAGGAAGCTTAGTGATATCAGAAGTTATACTTGCTATAACATTGGATAGCATTTTGGGAATTCAAAATATCACGTTCAAGCCCAGAGACAACACAGCAAAACCTAATAGAATCCAATTTTTACACCTAGTGAACAAAATCAAACTAAAACTCTAACCTTCTAAATTACTACATTACTACACTATCCAGCTCAGGACTGTGCAGTCTCCTAATTCAGTCCACAGGAAAGCTGTGTTGCCAAAACTGTCTCTCACTGCTTTGCCAGGTACACATTGCATTACATGTAATGAACATAATCCCTGTCATACCTGCAGAATTGAAGCTAGCAGTTTTTTCTCCGCTTCATCTCTCCCATAACATTGGAAGCTGTAGGTGTACACACTGTATTGATAACCAAACAGCTGCACCTGTAGTGTACTGTTGAGGGTATGTATGGTTTCCTCAGGGATAAATGATATCTGAGTGGAAGCCCCTCCTAGATCCAGTGCACCTATAGTCTCAACTCCATGGGGATGGACCCAGGGACTCCAAAGGTTTTTCTAGATATAAAAAGGACCAAGTTGAAATATCATCTAATGTGAGATTCTGCTCTTCTCTTTCTTAACATAGAAGATATTAGAAAATAATACTCAAATCAAAATGGAAACATCTCTAATTGTCTGTAGGATACTTTTAGATAGAACTTACTTTAAAAACTATAATTGAGGAACCCACTTTTCCTAGTTGCAAAGAAACAAAGAAACTAATTGGAGAAAAAAGTTCTAGCCTACTGAGAGATGCCATCAAGAAAGATATGAGTAGACTGAGTGGAAAGGCCAAAAGGCTGCCAAAACATCTACACAGAGATATAACTCTTTTGTTAGCCAGGGTTTGTATAACTAGCTTCAATGAGTGATTTTTCTCAACTAGATTCCCTTCCGATTTCTCATTGCTGAGATTCCTAGAAGTTATATTGGATGAAGTCCATACTGGATAAGCTGAAATAAGATAAAAATATTTACTCTAAAAGTTTTGTTGATATTATAGTAATATAAATTCTTTTCACAACTTTATTTTGCAGTTATAGTCTATCAAAACTAGATTACTGGTACATTTCCTTTAATAAGCTGTGGTATAGAATCTGGTGGCAAAATTATAGAGGACTCACATTAACCTTATTTGAAAGATTAAATGGTTGGTACCTTTCCAACTGAGCTTCATCGGAGTTTTTGATGATTTTGTCATGATATAGTTATATTACACTGCTGACATTTGCTCAGTTTTTTTATTTTTTTGCTTTTTTATTATCTCGCATTTTGCTCTTAACACTGCACCCCACCCCCGTGCCCCATTTTTGCTCCCAGGAGGCCTCCCTACACTTACCTGGGAGCCAGATGGGCCTTGTGGGAATTCCTGGGAGGGACAGGGCAGGGCGGTCATCGGAACTACCGGTTTGCCGAACTGGATGTAAAGTTAACATCTGGTTCGCCCGAACCAGCCCGAACTGGTTGAATCCCACCCCTGGTAATAGCTGCGCACAACTTATACAACTAAACAAAGTATACAATTTACTGTGAAATTTATAAATATTATTCTCAGTATAAAGAAAAATTCCACTATAAAAATTTATCAGTTAAGCAGATAATAAAAAAAATGGCTAGCCACAAAAAATAATGTCTGCCTTACTATTTCACCTTATCCTTTCTTCTCAATTTGATCTTTTAGCATTAAACAGTGACTATGAATAGTGATTGCATACTATATCGATCAACTCTGCACAGTATACTTATGATCTCCCCTTGCCTTTAGAGAAGATAAACATAGAATAATAGTGAGACCACAGACTGAGGAACAGGTTCTGCAAATGTGACCAGAGTGTGCAAAAAAATTGTACTGATTTCTCTTTGAATTACTTTATAGATCAAATGATCCATGAAATTTTCAAAAGGGGCTTCCTTTCTTATTATTTGGCCAGAATTTTTATGAACGTGTATTTTTAAACAATAACAAATACTTTAAATGCACAAGGTGTTTTTATATTTGACATACCAAAAATCAATTCTAAACAAAACAAGATTAAAAATGGGAACTGGCTGGCAAGATTTTCCTAATATTACTGCCATATTTAAATTTACAACAGTTTGTTTGGTGGCTGTTGGAAGTTACAATGGCACTTCAAAAAGTAACTTATGACAGTTTTTCACAAATACAACTGTTGCAGCATCACCATGGTCATGTGATCAAAATTCAGGTGCTTGGCAACTGATTCATATGACAGTTGCATTGCCTGTGATCACCTTTTGCGACTTCTAACAAGAAGAGTCAATTGGGGAAGCCAATTCACTTAATAACTGTGTTACTAACTTAACTACTTCAGTGATTCACTTAACAACTGTTGGCAAGAAAGGTTGCAAATTTGGGCAAAACTTCCTTAACAACTATTTCACCTAGCAACAGAAATGTTGGGTTCAAATGTGGTAATAAGTCAAGGTCTATCTGTATACATTATTATACTATTATATTTAGGAAACTGCCCTGATTTTTGCCTTGCATAAAGTGTGGGAAGTCTATGCTAATCACAGGACATATCAGTTTAGATATGTAAGAAACAATAGAATGTAATAAACATGCAGAATATTCCACACACCTCCAAGAAATTGCCTTTTAAATAGTTGGCTGTAATCCATCCATATACTCCTTCCTCTTGACCAGTTATGATTTGAGCACCCTTAAATTCAAAGGGCTGTGACATGAAATAAGTCTGAATGTTCTGAAGCACTTCATTGGCTGCTGATTCATTTTGCAACCTAAGTAATTCACAGAAGACAAAATGCTGAGGGTGTGAAAGGAGATGCTGCTTATGATGATAATTTACTAAATTGACTGACTACAGAAAGTTGATGATTTTTTTTTAAAAAAATGGAACTTTTTAAAAAAGGCTGATTCAGACAAGCATACATCTGATTATTTTATTGTTTCAATTAAATGCACAAACTCTATGGAAAATATTGTGTTTGAAATGAAAACCAGCTTGTATCTTAATAATTAATTTGTGCTGGATTATTCAAACATCATTACAGTGAGTGAGTTATAAATATACATGCGTGAACAAGCCCCAAGACACATGCAGCTACATTAAAGCTGCATGTTTATCAATAAGGCTTTCCCACAGGTGTATGTAATTATCAATACCTGCTTATTTAAATGGAATGCAATTTGTAAATTTGTTGTAAAAATTCATATCCTGTTCTAAATTCCTGTTCTGTTCTAATTCATGTTCTAAATAGTAGGTAGAATATATACTGTATTGAAATGCTTATGCTTTAGCAAGATTGAATAGTTGTCATGCATCCACAAGAGAAAATGCTGTGGATCCTCATTATACATATTTATATCATAGTTGGATATCATAATAGATATCATAATAGATATTGACCATAATTATGTGCACCTATTTAAAAAACATTTAGTAAGCCAGAATTTCAACGCTTCATTATTTTCTTTTCAAAAAAGTGACCAAAATATTTTATTTAAATCATGGACACTCAAAAAATTATTATTTGCATTGCATAATCCACAAAAAATTATACATACATGATTTTAAAGAAATAAAGCAGACATATGCAAAATTACAATAAAGCAATACAAATGAGAACATGAAGGTTTCCATTGGCCAAAATTTATTTAGAAAAAATAATCCTATTGTGAAATATCCAGGAACATTCAGATCTAGGATTGACTTTTTAAAAGCCATTAAAAATCTGTTTAATATCTGCAGCAATTTTATTCCCAACAATCTATCTAGGAAAGATTGCAATGTCTGTTCAGTGTATAGAATCAGCTAATATATTTATTAATTTTGTAGAGTAATGGAGAAATAAGGAGATAAGGATAAGGAGAAAATGTTCTTGTAAATTGTTACTATGCTCTGCTGAAGTCTGTACTGAAACAATGAATAAAAAATTACATGCAGCAGTCCTAGACTACAGAATGTGCTGTAGTTTTCCTATTGTACCTCAGAAGTCTCATACCAGCTGTGGCTCCCAAGTAGACAGGTACACTTTTGTGCAAATGAAAAGGAATTTTCTCCTTTACTTTATTCATACAATTGTTGATGGGCATAGAAATTTCTTGAGGGTTACTGCCATAGCTGGATATTCCAGGACCTAGAAAAAATAATGAAAATATTTAGTTTGTTCTGTCAAGATTAGCACAATATATCTGCTTCTCTACTTCCACGGGTAGTAATCCAGATATTTGCAGCCTATATATAGTAGTCCTATCTGTGTATCTTGCATTTATTTTTAGTTGCCAATAATGATGTATTAGAATTTTTAATCTTTTAAAATTTATTTTAATATATATTTAAAAACAGAATAAAAAAGAAATAAGGAATAAAAAAGCGAGCAAACAAACAAAAACAGAAATTTATAAGCATTATAAATTCCTCACGTCAGTTAGAACTGAAAAATCTTCTTGGATGAGAAGCGAAATATTTTAAAAAAGAAATCAAGAAAATCCCATTGCTGGATGCCCTGGATAATTGAGAATCTTCTCAGACAAGCATTATAAAGCTTTAGATTTAAAAAATCTAAAATATACTAATTTTATATAATAGTATTATCTTTGTTTTTATGTAGTCCTGGTTCCAAACCTGTTAATTTATATATAATATTAGTTCTGACCAGTGATGGGATTCAAAAAGTTTTACTACCAGTTCTGTGGGTGTGGTTTGGGGGGCATGGCAGGGGAAGGATACTGCAAAATCTCCATTCCCTCCCCACTTCTGGGGAAAGGTTACCACCGGTTCTCCGAACTATTCAAAATTTCCACTACCGGTTCTCCAGAACTAGTCAGAACTTGAGGGGCTGCCACAGGGAGAAAGGGGTCAAGCTGTTTTCTAAAGCACCTGTAGGCCAGACAAGGAATAATGGATGGAAACTGAACAAAGAGAGATTTAACCTGAAAATAAGGAGAAACTTTCTTTTCTTTTCTTTTTTTAACAAATTTTATTCAGTTTTTCACATTAAAAACAAAAATCTCTTTTTAGTGGACAATATATTTCCGGGTCATCACCTTTACATACAAATATGACAGCAATTATACATTCATATATGCATACTTAATTATATTATTACCTTTTCCATTCCAAATTTTCAGTAAGGAGAGAAACAAACACATTAATTCTAGCCTCTTTCATTAACCTCAATCGAAACATCTTTTTGTTTCATTTCAATTATTTCAAATATAATCCTTTAATATTTATTTTAAAAATAAAGATAAAAAATATGTGTTTGCCTAATAATAATAATAATGATAATAATAAAAAAGTTACCAATGTCTCTCCTTGCTTTTAATAGTCTATATTAACTTATTAATTAAGTTGGTTCTTTAGTCTGTCATATTCCCTTTCCATTACACATTCTTTTTATAAATTCTAGATTAATACAAATTTTAACACTAAAAAAAACAAAACAAGTATAGGTTTCTCCCTTTTACTGTTTTGAGTGTGACACCTCAATGATTAAAATATACCTTTATTCCCTCATCTTGATTCCCAATAAACCATTATTTTTAAGAAGTTACGATAATAATCATTACATCTTTTCATTTGGATTCCGCAGCATATTTTCCCCGCTTGATTTTTAATAAGAGTTATCAGTATCTATATTACCCTATTTTCTAAATATTTTTAATTGCAGAAATATTCTTATTACCCCTTGTCACCCTGCAGAATCCCCTTTTTAATTCATCAACCATTATCTCTGAAAAAACATTTTTTCAATATTTTACTATTTCCGTATTTCTTTATTTCATGCACCTGTTTCTTACTGCTTCTCCCCCCCTCTTTTCCCCATATCTTTTCTCGTTCCAGTTTATATCCCTCTCTTTCTTAATATCTTCCTTTCCCCTTTTCTGCTGGGTCTTTCTGCCTTTTCTGACTTCACAGGTATTCCCCCTTTTGATTGCCTTCTTAAATTTCAACTTTTTAACCTTCTTTCTTTCCCCACTTCTTTGTAGTGTTCTTTGTGTTAATTGTCTATTTAAAATGTCTTCTCCTTGAACCGACTCCCCCTCCTCTGAAGCTCTTTCTTCTTGTTCTTCAATCGCCATTTCCATTTTTTCTAACACAGAGCAAAGTGATTCGCCTTTTTCCTGTAGTAATTCTCTCATATTTTTAAGTTCCATTTTTAATTCCCGAAGATATATCATCATTACACACTCTTATATTTTTTGATCGTTAAAGTCCACAAAAAAAACCACTTTTACTTTCCTTCTTTCTTCTTTCAATTTTCTAAAGTTCTCAGTTATTCCAGCCCAGGGTCTATACCAAAAACATCAATCAATCCCACAGTCAGTCTTTCCTTGCTTTTTTCTTTATTCTGGTTCTGCTTTCCTTTTCTAAGATTCTTACTTTGTTTCAATATTTCTTTAATGTTATATCCACACAAGTTCATTCAGAAACAGGATGCTTTCCCTTTTGTTTGAGTTCAAGTTTTTGTCAAAAGGGGGCACTCTCCATTATACAAAGTCTTCACCTGTTCCCCCTATTTTTTATTTAGGGTTTTTCGAACCTCAATACAGTCCAGTCTCCAATTTGTAAACTTTATTATTATTATTTTTTGACAATCTTAAGTCCAGCTTTATTTTATGCCTGTTTATTCCCAAAATATTTTAGTCCAATTTAATTAAATCTTTAGTTCCAGCTTCTTCCTTTCCCGGTTCAAAGCCCTGCTTAGCTGTCAAAAATATTTTCTTTTTTTCCCCCTGTCTCTTTGTAATTTCGCCGCTCACTTTTCTTTTCTTAAAAATTCCATGTTACCTTAATCCCGGGGTACTTTTGTTTAGTTGTATTGCCCAGTTGTCCCGGTTCAGATGTTATCAAACCTCTTTCTTCCCTCCTGCACAAATTTTAATCCAGCTGAGTCCTCCTCTTCGGGGTGGCCATTTTAAACCATCGCTGCAGTTGTCTTTGGGGGGAAAAAGACCAAGCCCAGGGGGGACATGCGGCTCCCCTCAACCTGGCTTGCGGCTTCCCCTTACTCCACCGCCCCTCCAAGGCAGCTTCAGCCCCTAATCGTAATGATCGGGGCTCTCCAACGAAAGAGCACGGACCATAGCCACAGAGAGTTGCGATCTATGGTCCGTCAGCAAGGAGGCTCCTCCTTCTTCCGGAAATAAGGAGAAACTTTCTGACAGTGAGAACAATCAACCAATGGAATAGCTTGCCCTTGGAAGTTGTGGGAGCGCAATCACTTGAGACTTTCAAGAAGAGATTGGACTGCCATTTGTCATAAATGGTGTAGGGTTTGGTCAGGGGATTGGACTAGATGACCTACAAGGTCCCTTCCAACTCTGATTATCTATCTATTAAATAGAACCTGCTGAATACCACTTCTGGTTCTGACTCTGCCAGATATGTAATCTTTTGATTTGCACAGAATTCTTGTAATTATTTTTTATTGCTTGCTTGTGGATCACTATGAGGGTTTGCACAAGATGAATATATTATGGGGGTAATTAAATTCTGATTTGTGGGGGCTTTGGTGAGGGCACTGTGTTTTAATTTTGTTGACATGTGTTCCTGTCTTGTGTGCTGTGAAATAATTGCTGTGAAAAAATCTTAAAAACAGCAGAACATTACAAAGAACAGATAGCACCTTTCCTGATATTCAGTTAATTCACATTTCTCACTAAACAATCCTCTGAGTTTACAGTTTATATAGATTATAAGCCAATCACTACTTTTAAATTACTGTAATAATGAAACCTCACTGGGACATGAGACAAAAATTAAGCTGAAAACCATATGAATAACTTAGTGTTCATCTGATGAAGTCCAGAAAATCAAGCTACTAGGTACTGTATATATTAGCTTATTTGCTTATATAACTATTAATGTTTGCCCTGGCAAGGACATTGCACTTTTAGATTCTAAATGAGGAATATTCAAATATGTGGTTCTGCACTTTAAAAGAATCCTGATCATGTAAAATAATCAGACTGAGAAGCTGCTTGAGAGTGCTGCAGACTGTGACTTGTCTATTCTTTCATTAGTCATAAAAGCAGTGCTTAAAAAACTAATAATTTTCAGATAGGATTCTATTTGGAGGCTGCTGTTCCTATATATTTATAGTTTTTATAGTACAATTAGTCTGGAAAGAACACATGGTGCCATTGATATTTCAATTCCTAATTGTCTGCATGATCAGAGAAGTTTGTGAGTTTATATCCATCAGTGAAGAACTCACTTAATATACAAATTTATCTAATAAGAGTATACATACCATCTCAAATAAAAAACACCCTTGCATGGAGAATTCAAAAGCAACAGATCAAATAGCATTTAAAGTCTGGTTAATCTGGAAATGACTTTGTCCAAAACATGAAAGGTTAGTGATGAAAACTGGTGAGGCCTGATCAGGTCAGGCTACATGTTCTGCCTATAAAACTCAATGATTATGCAAATAATCTCTTTATCAGACTGACTCCTCTTACTTTCAGATATAGAGAAGATAAGAAAGAAGAATGATAAAGATCCATAGAATTCATGTGAGATAAAAGCATATATATTTCCTCTATTAGTGTAATAGTTCCATAATCATGAATGTAACCATTTATGTATGATTTTATCTGGTTAGATTCCAGACTTGAAAATCTGTCCTTTTATGTAGCAATTCTAAGCAGAGAAGACATCCTTGACTCAGGATCCAAAATCATTTTATCATGTACTTTGTATGGCAGCTGAAGACATATAAACTGATTGTCCTCACTCTCTTCCATCAAGACAATTCAATCCTTGTGACTTTTTTTTTACTCCATGCAATTATTTCAGTATTTTTTCCTCACCTTTCACATCACACTTGAAGGTTTGACTTACTACTCCAGTATTATTTTCTTTTTCTGCTGGCCATTCATATACATAGACTGTTGTCCGAGATGAACCAGCATCAAGCACTATTCCATACTGAGGAGGGCAGAGAGAAAAGACAGATTATAATCCTGAAAGTGTAGCCACTGAGTTCTTTATACAAACTCAATATTTTTATATTTATATTCACTTCGATGGTTTTTGTGTGGTCCTAATGCAAGGCAGGGGGGGTGAGGGAGAGAGTGGGAGAGAGAGAGAGAGAGAGAGAGAGAGAGAGAGAGAGAGAGAGAGAGAGAGAGACTCTACAGCAACAGGAACTCTCTTTTTCTTTCTGATCACATGCTTATCCCCTGACTCTTCCAAGACTTCTGGCCATTTCCATCCCTTAATACTACGGTAGTAATATTTCTTAGATGCTATTTTGATAAAATTAACACTTATTAATCTACTTTTTTCCAACAGAGCCTTTCCCAATAAGGTGCCTTCTGGATGTGTTGGGACTTCACTCCCCTAAATCTGCAGCCACCATAGCACTCATCTATACTGAAATGTAATGCATTTTAAAGGCACCACGTTGGAGGCAGTCTTTCGCAACTATGAGAACAGATAGAGAGGCAGGCAGCTCAGGCCATGCAAATCATCAGCACAGCATATGAAGGCAGGGTGGGATTCATTTTTTTTTACTACCAGTTCTGTGGGCATGGCTTGGTGGGCATGGTATGGCTTGGTGGGCGTGGCATGGCTTGGTGGGCATGGCAAGGAAAGGATACTGTAAAATCTCCATTCCTGCCCCACCCCACTAACCTGATTTCCAGCTCCGTTCTCCTCTGCAAGGCAACAAAAGAGCCAGCCGATCAGGACTTCCGGTTTGCAAGCTTTCGGCGGCGGCAGGGATTCGCGACCGCGCAATCCCTGCTGCGTTCGCCGCCAAGGTTCCTCCGATCCATTTGGATCTGGGGGATATAGCTGCCCCGTAGAGGCAGCTGAAGACAGGGGGGATCCAGCAAGGGGCCTGGGGGTGCCGCAAACCCCCTCCCCAGCTGGCTAAACACCCTTTTTCTGAGGCGGAGGAACAGCGGTCAGCAATGGCCGCCACGAAGAAAGCTGCAGCCAGACAAGCAGGTGCAGGAGGGAGAAAGCTGGAAGAACAGTGAAAGTTGCTTCTAACTGGGACAAGACGGGAGAAAGTGACCTGGAACCTTGAAGGCTGCTAAGTATATATTGTTCCTTGTGAGAGTTACAAGCTGCGAATACTCTAAAGGGGAAAGTTTTTTTTTTTTGTTCTACTCTCCTTCCTAAAGTGACAGCGGAGAAAAAAAAACCTTTTTGGCTGTGAGTGGGAAGGGAGAGGGGAAAAAATTGGAGCAAAATTTGAAAATAAGGAGAAGATTGCCTAGAACTGCAAAGAGTTGTTAAACATTAAAAAACTTCCAAAAAATATATTTGAAAAGGATTTGTGATTACTTTAACCCCAGAAAGAGAAAGTGAAGAAGAAGAAGGTATCTAAAAGAAATAGTCTGTTTGGATTGTTTGGTGATTTTGGAACCTTTGAGAATTACTTTTGATTAAAACATTTGGGTGGTGGTTTGGAAAAACTTTTTCTCTACACAATGGCATCATCTGTGGATGGATTGAAACATATATATCAAAAATATGAAAGAGAAAAACAAGGAGGGAAAGATGGTCTTGGCACTATTTTTCAATACGTAGAAATGGCGGTTTATATTTATGTGAAGCAGAATGAACAACAGGATGATGGGGACAAAGAAGAAGAAGAAGCGATCTTTGATGAACAAAGGACTTTGATTGGAGAAGGGAAAAAGCAAGAGAAAAAGGAAAAGAGGTCTTTAAGATCTGGAAAAACAGCCCAAAAAAGAGAAGAATAAGGTGAAAAGAGGACATTATGTTAAGAAACAACAGAAAGGGGGAAAGCAGAATAAAAGGGAGGTGGAGAGACAAGGGGTTAAAGAGGACAAGGAGAAGAAGAAGCAAGAGAGAAAGGAAGGGATGAGAAGCCCTAATGGTGGGGAGCAAGATGTTAAGAAGCAAAAGTTTTTTAGAGATAATGGATAAATCTTATTGTTAAAGGGATTCTAGAAAGGTACATAAGACTGCATTTTTATACCTGTATTTAGAAGTAATTATAGAAAATTAGAAATAATATGTAACTTAAAATGTGATAAAATATTTAACATAAACTAGTGGAATTTTTTTTTTAAGAAAAAGGAAGTACTGTAATGAAATATGATTCAAGATTGTGATGGGGGGGGGGTAATAATTTTTGGAAAGCATAAGTGTTCCCACAAAGGCATGATATTTAATTGAAATGGATAAAATGTTTAAGATATAAATGATTGTTAATATTAATGATTAGAATATGGTATATTAGCGAAATTTTTTGTGAAATGAGGGATTTGAAGTAGAAGAAGGAGGAACATTTTAATGAAATATTGAGTTATAATATGTGATGTGGGGGGGGGGAATAATTATGGAAAATAGGGCTCCTATAAAAGTATGTGATTTAATTGAAAAGCAATGAGTTAAACGTTTAAGATATGAATGAATATCAATACTAATGAATAAATTTGTATTATTTTTGATAACATAGTATAATTTTAGAATGTACCAGACAGAATCCCAATGTATGTCATGTGTTTTATATTAACTATTATAAATATAGGGGAAAGAGATAAAGGCATCATACTCCATATAGTGTACAGGAGAAGTCTTTCTTCTTTTTTTAAAGAAGAAAAATAAATGGTTGGCTGGAATAGAACAGACAAAGAATAATAAATATTATGATACGAATTGAGAGGAGATAAATAAAATAAAATAAAATTGAGAAAATTCAAAGGAGAGGAGGTCAAATAGAAAATTGAAAATGTTAATAAGATATGAAATGGTATTTAAAAGGAATATGAATTTGAATTTGTGTCTGTACCAAGAGTTATAACCCGGGACTAAGCAACTTTCAGAAAAGAGATTTTTTATGCTTTTATGTTTTGTGTTTATGTGTATTTATGTATTGTTTGTCTTGAAAATAAAATTTGTTTAAAAAAAAAAAAGAGCCAGCTGGGACTCGGAAGGCAGAGAACAGATGGAGGCACGGCCAGTTAGAGATGGTATTTGCTAGTTCTCCGGACTACTCACATTTTCCGCTACCAGTTCTCCAGAACTGGTCAGAACCTGCTGAATACCACCTCTGTATGAAGGCATGTGTGATTCTATCCACATCCCGCATGATACTAATGTTATAACTGCTGCACTTTAGACTTTGCTCAAATGAGCACTGAGCAAGTTCTGAAGCCAACAATTCCTACTCATGTTTACTCATGCCCTACTCACCTCCCATCTTAACTATTGCAACACACTCTACATGGGGCTGCTCCTAAAAAGCATTCAGAAGCTCCAGTTGGTAAAAATGCAGCAGCCTGCATGGTTTCACCTCTCCTGCAGGAACTGCATTGGTTGCCAATTTGCTTCTTGGTACAATCCAAGATGCTGGTTGTCACCTTTAAAGCTTGGGACCAGGTTATCTGAGGGATCATCTGTTGCTGATCTCATCTACCCAATGCAGTAGAGCGGGGAGGCAAGGAATGTTGCCAGTCCTGTCCCTTAATGAGATACATCTGGAGGATCCAAAAGAAGGGCCTTCTCCATGGTGATTCCCTCTCTCTGGAACATCATTCCCCTGGAGATTAGACTGGCCCTTACTCTAATGCTCTTTTGAAAGTCCCTGAAGATGTAATTCTGCTAGTTTGGAGTTGGGGAACACAGAGAGGGATGGAGCCCATTAAATGGCTAGTATAAATGTGTGTTGTCACCGGGGTGGGGGGTTTATTGTTTTATTATTTTACTTTTTATTATTTTTATTTCTTTTATATGGTTTTTTATAGCATTGTAAGCCACCTTGAGTCACCATGTGTGACTAGGCAGCAATATAAATTTTCTAAATAAATAAAATGCCACTGTCAGATTAATATCTGAATATGGAATGTTTGGGTCAGCCTGCCAGGCAGCAAAATAATTCAAACCAGAGCTTCACTGTACAAACCTTATTTCATGTCAAAAAAACAACTTACTATGCAGCAGGAGGCACAACTATTAAAACAGAAAAAAATGTAATGCCTCTTAGCATTCACAAAATGAGTTTCATTTTTCTTTCATTGAGGCTACAGTATCTATCTGACTTTTGAGGATTTACAATATTCTTTAAAGCTCCATCTTGTAATCCAGGGTGAATATATACAATGGAATTCTCATGCTCATATACTTGTGATTCACACAGAAACAATAAAGGTGATCCATGTGTGACCAAGTGAACAAAAACTATTATTATTACAGTAATATTCTGAGCTAGTAATATTGTCCATTGAGTTCAGAGGCCCCCAGAGCAGTATATTTAACAACATGTTTCATATGTCTTGTTTTATAAGAAATAAAGTATTTTAGACAGCAATCATAAACAGACTGGATCAGGGAACAAATCCCGATGAGCTCCAGAAGACTTTCTTAGTTATTTATTTGGAAATAAGTAAACTTGTTTGGAATTGTAGCACTAATTGCAAAGTACTATATGGCTAGTGAAGATTAGTTTTTAAAAGAAGCAAATGGCACAAGTCCAAAATATTACAGGGAACACAATTTATTTCCTGTCCTGCTCTACTGCTCTGTTTAGAACTAGAACTGTTTTCCCTTAACTATTGTTTACAATGATTCAGAAGACATGTTTTGGATAACAGCCAGCCACCAGTTTCTGAATTTCATTAAAACAGTGCAATTTTTTTCAGGTTTCTGTGTGAGTCTGAAAAAGGTTATTGCCGCTTAGAGTTCCATTAATTTCTTCAACAGAATTGCACTTGTAATGCATTTCAAATTCTGAACTTACTCTATCAGTAATTTCCCCCACCCCTTTTTCTACTTTGGAATTGGTCGTTAGAAGAATAGTGCCATTAACAAGTTGTAACTGGTGCAGGAAGTTATTTGTTACACCCATCAAATCCAAATCTTGTCTTAAGGAAAATTTGTATAATTAAAATGCATCCTTTCACAAGGAGCTGTATAGTCTCTCTATGAATTGTTTCAGATTTTTAATACAAATTGTTCAGAAATATTATCCAGTTTAACATTTTTATTTAGTTATAAAGTATTGTAAAATACAATGCTTTGTTTAGCAAACAAAGTGTTGGCTAAGGATTATAGTTGTTAAAGTGCAGCATATCTGGAGAACATCTAGAAAAAAGAAGTATCCAGGTTTAAATTTGCACAGTGCCACTCATGTTTTTGGCTAAGTGTGGAAACTAGCTGTATTGAAAGCAAATTACCTGAAAATGTTTAGCCCAGTTTCTTCCTGGGCTAAACATTTTCAGGTAATTTGCTTTCAATATTAGGTCATTGCCTCAGCAATTAATATCTCAGTTAAACATCAGATGTTGCAAAAGTCCTAGCTTATTATTTAAGCCTACCTTTAGACCCGGAGAAAGGATCTGTTCCCGATTCACCTGAACAAGAGTTATAGTAACAATAATTGCAATGCTTAAAAGCAGAAAGATTAAGGTGACAATGGTTGGCATTTTGTACTACACTTGGAAACCTAAAAATAAGGAGAAGAAAAATGACATTATTAATTTTTGAAGGAAACAGTTATTTAAAATGAACTTTAACACCTAATGTCCAAGTTCATTAGCTTGAGATGAGGAAGGTGACTACTAGACTGAATACAGGCCTTGAATTGTTTTATCTATATAGATAAGATGACAACTTCCAAAATTTATTGGACATTTGAAAGGCCTTAGTTGGAAAGACTGAATTAGTTGGATAATAGATATATTTTATTGTACGTACAGTATAACAGCTATATTGTTAGCTACTAGAATTCTTTTTCCCTTCTTTCACTACAGAACTTGTCTTGTTGAGCAAAAATTTAATAAGTAGATGTTGTAATTATTTGTCTGATCTACAACTTTTTTACACACTATAAAGAGGCAATTCAGATTACATTTGAATTAAAACCTAGCTGATAACATGCATATAATTGAATGAGGCATAGGCAAATAGGTGAACGAACACCATGGTTAATGTCTACAGAAGCTTTCCCCAAATGGATGCCCTCTAGAAATTATGATTTCTAAAATGCCACTTTTTTATAATATTTTTTTTATTTTTCAGTTTCAAAAATACATTCCATTTTTTTTCTCAAGCAGTGTGTCATCTGGGCACAAATGCCTTTGTGCTACATTTTTCACCCTTTTACAACATTCACTTTCATATTGATATTATTTCTCTAAATTTAGGATTAAAATAAACAGCTAAACATTTCTTCTGGTGATAATACCTTATTAACATTACATCTCATTATTCTCATCATAGGTATAGTAACAATTATTATCTTATGTATATCTCTATCTTATCTTATTTTCTATTCTCCATTATTATTCATTTCTAACTTCCTTTTTTGTTCTCTAACCATTGATAAAATGTTTTCCATATCATATAGTACTCAGTTTGTTCTTTCTCCTAAGTTGCTAGTGTTAATCTATTCATCTCTGCACATTCTAATATTTTCCTAATTACCTCCTCATCTGTGGGGATCTCCTCCCCTTTCCAATGTTGTGCAAATACAATTCTAGCTACAGTTAATACATTAAGAATTAAATATACATTCTCTTTATTATACATTTCAGGTAAAATCCCTAACAGAAATAATTCTGGTTTTAACTCAATATGTTGTTTTATCATCTCTTCCAACCATGTCTTTATTTTCATCCAATATTTCTTTGCTTCTCCACATGTCCACCACATATGATAGTAGGTGTCTGGTGGCATTTCCAATATTTAGCTGATTTGTCTTAAAACATCTTTGCTAACCTCACAGATGCAAAATGCCATCTGTAAAACATCTTATACAAATTCTCTTTATTTGCCGTTGACATCATTAATCTATAGTTCCTATCCCACAGTTTCTGCCATTTATCTAATTCTATCATGTAACCAAAATTTTTCACCCATTGTCTCCATTACTTGTTCCTCTTCCAACTTTATACCCAATAAATAACTATACAGTTACTTTATTAACCTTTCTTCTGTTCTTATAAGGATTTTATTTAACACTGTTAATTATTTGTAAAAACCCTCTGATTTAGCATCTTTCTCATATCTAGATTGCATCTGCACTCGTGAATACCATGTTATAGCGATCCCTAGCTCGCTCATTCCTTCTTTTGCTTTTGAGTTCCTGTCAGATCCATGTATCTGCCATTCTTAGATTGAAGAAGAAGGGGGCGGGGAGTTGGTACAAGTAATCCTTTTTTATGTAACCTGAATATATTAAATCTTATATTGAATCTGTATAACTTGCACATGATATACAACTGGAGGACTGGAGCCAGATGTCTAGAAACTTGTCACCTCTTGGAGAGATAGCAAGAGGAGAAAGGACCATAAAAATTCCAGCTCTGGAAGATACTCCCTGAGAACCTCTTCTAAGATACGTTCCCAGAAAAGGGGAGGGGGGAATTAACATGTTGGTTCTTTGTTTGACTAAATCCACATCTAAAATAAGGGGAGGGGTTCTAACTCCCTTTATCTATTACTGTATGCCTGGAAACATCTTAGATTCTGCTTTGACTAGTACTGGGATTTCAATAAGAAATCCTTTCAATAAGAATTCCTTTTGAAGTGCCTAGCTTTCAGAAGTTCATTCTTTTTCGGTTGAAGAGGAAAAGTCCAGTGCTTACAGTTCCCCTTTTTCATTCAAAATGTCTTTATATTTAATAATATTACCCATATTAATTATATTTGGGTGAGTCAATGCTTCCATTGTTGAAAGCCAGATTGGAATCCTCAAATAGTGTTGTTCTTTGGTTTTCTCTCACATCAACATTAGTGCATTCCTTATGTAATGTCTCTGAAAATATCCATGTATCTTATTTTTGCCTTACCACAAGAAAGCCACCCCAGTTGCAAACCATGTCCTTCCAAAGTCAGTAATCTTATATTTCTCAATACAATCCACTCTTTCGTCCATGTTAATATAGCAGCCTGATAGTACAATTCCCAGTTTGGTAGTTCAAAACCTCCTCTATTTCTTGTATCTTGCATCATTTTCAAACCAATTCTTGCTTTTTTCCCTTGGCAGATATACTTATGTATTATTTTATTAAGTTCCTCAAAATATTTTTTGCAGCTTTATCAGTATTGTTTGAAATAAATACAATAATGTTGGCAAAATATTCATTTTAATCGTTGCTACTCCTCCTACCAGTGATAGTTGCAGAGTCTTCCACTTTTCCAGATGTATTTGGATTTGTTTCAACAATTTGTAATAGTTATCTTCCTTAATTGTTATACATTTTGCTGTCAACTGAATCCCTAAGTATTTAACTGTCTTTATAATCTGAATATCTAGTCTCTTCATTAATTCTTGTTTTTGCTTTTCCGTAAAGTTTTTAACTAAAATCTTTATTTTCTCTTTGTTTATTTTCAGGCCTGCCAGTTCTTCATATTCTTCTATTCTTTTTATTAATTTAAGCCCTGTTGTTAATAGCTCTTCTAGAATAAAAACCAGATCATCTGCAACACTTGTAATTTATACTGTTTCCTTTTAATCCCTATGCCTTTTATTTCTGTATCTTGCATAATATTTCTATTTAATACTTCCAATGTCAATATAAACAGTAAGGGGGATAGGGGACATCCTTGTCTTGTACCCTTCTTAAGGCTAACTTTCTCAGTCATATCTTCATTTACCATCGCTTTTTCAGTTTGCTTATGATATATTGCCTTAATCAGTTCAACAAATCTCTCCCCAAAATCCATCCTTTTTAACTGTTCTAACATAATGCCAGTTCACATTATCAAACACTATTTGGGCATCTGAAAAGATCAGCGCCATTTACTTCTCTGGATGTGCTTCATAATACTCCAAGATATTTACAATTATTCTCGTATTATCTTTAATTTGTCTTTTAGGTAGAAAACCATTTTGTTCTCCATAGAGCTGCTCGGAGCATCCAGAGTAGGAGGTGCTTCAGTCTCCGCTCTCACAGGCTGAGCTTGAATTGAGGAATGCTCCTCCTCCTCCACGTGACTCCTCCGTAGCGTTCCCCAGTTTATGCTCAGCCTCATGAGAGACAGGCTGTTTCTGAATAAGCTCCTTGGCCGATTCAGGATTTCTTCTTATTTTCTGGCTATCAGGTTTGATTGTTTTTTTTTTCCTTTAGCCTCTGCGCAATTGGTTTCCTCTACTAACTTCAAGGGAGCGTTTTCTTCACCCCTTAGGGGGAAAAAAAGCGGGCGGTTTAGCAGCGCTCTCGCGCTAACCCCCCCATCCTTGATCTAAACCCTGCCGCTTTCCACGCCGCCCTTGTTAGCAGCTTGATTTTCTTGCACTTTTAAAGCGCCGCTGGTTTCCCCCCCCCACGAACGCCGATCCTCTAAGGAAGAGACGACTCTCTCCTTTGCTGCCCCTCTCCGCATTTTGAGCTTGCTGGAGGAGCATAATTCCGCCCCGAGAGGCCCCGACACCCTAGCTCAGTAGGCGTCCGCCATTTTGGGTGCCGCCTCGTGGTCGGGCGCCATTTTGTTTTCCTGTTTCTTGCTGATTTACTGCTGCGGGCCACCTTCGCTCACCAAAACAGGCCTTATCAGCCTGCTTAGAGCATTTTTCCTCATAATTGGACTCCTGCAACTCCTTTTTGGTGTTTTTCCGTATATATTGTTGGCCTATCCCACAGCCAGACTCAGTGGGTGAAGTAATAGCAGCAGCACCCCCCCCAGTTCCGCCTGGGAGGACAGCTGCTGGAGGCCTTATCTCTCTCTTTTCCCTTTGGCCTCAGGCGTTCATTCGGCTAATTGGATAATTGATCAATTTATCTTCCTTTTATAATTTTTTTGCTAGTTCTAACAGCCAAAGTTGTTACTCCTCTTATTGGACCAATATCCAAATTTATACCGGTTCAGATTTATATATTTTTATATATAATAATAATAATAATAATAATAATAATAATAATAATAATAATAAT